TTTTTGTTTTTGTAAAGATGGGGTCTTTCTGTATAGCCTTGGCTGTCCTGGAACTCACTCTGTATATCAGGCTGGCCTTGTACTTACTCATCTTTCTCTGCCTCCTGAGTGCTGGGATTAAGAGGACATGGGCCACCACAGCCACTGGGCTTTTTTTAAATAAGATTTTAAAGTGTGTGTGTGTGTGTGTGTGTGTGTGTGTGTGACTGAGAATTGAGGCTAGGGCTTTGTGCATGTTTAGTAAGCTCTTTATTACTGAGGTTGCACATCAGCCAGCCCCCTTTCTTAAGCTTTTGAACATATTTTAAAATAGCTCCTTTGAAGTCTTTACTAAGACTAATAACATTTGATAATTTTTCCTAGTGACTACTTTTTTTCTTCTATGAGTCACAGTTTCCTGTTTCTTTTGGAAGTCTTAAACTTTTTGATGAAATTAGGCATCTTAGACAAAATATTGTTCCAGTTTTGATCTTTGTCCTTTTGAAGATGTTATACTTTGTTTAGATAACAGGTCTGTGAATGTCTTCACTCTGGTGTATGCCTGCTGGTTTCTCTGGTCAATATTTTTTCTTTTTTAAAATGTTAAAGTTTTTTTAGTGGTTGCTTTTGTCATTTATGATACTGCTTTCTGATCTGCCAGACATCTGGAGCTAGTAAAATTTCATTCTCCTAGTGGATCTGTATGTAGATAGTGGAGTGCATTTTCAAAAATCTGCCAGCCACTATTGTTTTCTAAAATGCTTTTACAGCAGAGCTCAGTGTCTTCATCTGTTTTAGTTACCTTTCTGTGGTAGTGGTAAAATATCATGACCATAAACAACTTAAAGGAGAAAGGCCTTTTATTTTAGCTTATGGTTTCAAGGGGATAACATTTAATCATGGCAGAGAAGTCAGACATTTTAGCAGAAACAGGACACTGGTTGATCACATTTGTATTCATATATAGAAGCAGAGGGGTAGTGAGAGTGGGAGATAGAATGGGGAGAGAGAAATGAGGCTAGAAACCTCCAAAGGCCACCTTCATTGTATACTTCTGCTAACAGTATTCCCATCCCAAGAGGAATCTTCTAAACCCCACCACCAACTGGGGACTGTGAGCTTACGGGGGAGGAGGGATTATTTCTCATACAAGGTACCTCATCAGCTGAGGATATGGTTGATATACATTTACAACCATATCAGACTAGTAGAGCTCTTGGTTACTTATTGGTTTATTGGCTAAGATTATCATTTGTCCGTGATAGGGTATAGGTGTGGTTTATTACTGCATATTAAAATGAAGGTATTTTGTCAGTGCTTACTATAGAGTCTTAGTGCTTGTTCCACATTAGCAGAATCTGCTGAGTTCACAGGTAGCCTAAGGCAAGAATGTTAACTCCTGTTGTCAACAAAAATTCAGTTTTCAAGCATCAGCACTTATTTTTTTTTTTGTATGCTTTTTTTGGTGGATTTCCAGAGAACTGAAATGATTCTTGTTAGTTTTGTTTTGCTTTATAGTAAATTTTTTTTGAGAGATTTGCTAACCCTAAAACTTGTCTATAGCCAGAAAGCCTGTATGTGACACAAAGTCAGATGCTGTCCTCTGTTACTCTCCACCTTAGTTTCTGGGAAAGGATCTCCCAGTGAGCTCCCATGATCCATTTTCCCATACCCCTCTGTTCCTCCTAGGGTTGCATACAGATGAACATTACTGCTATGCCTGGCTTTTACATAGATGCTGGGGAGCTGAATGTAGGTTCTCACGTTTGTGCAGCAAGTATTTGTCACTTCCTGGTCTTTTTTGTTTCTTTGTTTTGTTTTGAGGTGCTCTTATATATCCTAAAGTGGCTTGGAGCTCATACTTTTCCTTCCATAGTCTCCTGAGTGCTGGGATTATAGACTTGAGCCACCACACTTGCCTCTATCAATACCCTTAAATCTCTCTGTGCTCAACCTTCACACTTCCACCTATAGGTAACTTCTACCTTGACATTTTGGTAAATGTTCCCTTGCTTTAAAAGATATTTTAGGGGGCTGGAGAGGTGGCTCTGTGGTTAAGAGCCCTGACTGCTCTTCCAAAGGTCCTGAGTTCAATTCCCAGCAACCACATGTTGGCTCACAACCATCTGTAATGGGATCTGATATCCTCTTCTGGTGTGTCTGAAGACAGCAACAGTGTACTCATACACATAAAATAAATAAATAAATAATTCTTTATAATCTATCACTTTGCATAGTTTTGAGCTTTATATACCTTGGGCACCTTTTATCCTCAATTCCCTCATCATTATTTCTTAAATATACCCATATTAATATAGTTGTGCTCAATTTGTTTCTACTTTATATACTTCTTTTTACTTTTTTTAGTACATTTCTTTTTTTTAAAGATTTTTCAAACTTTTTATTGGTCTTTGTGAACTTCACATCATGCACCCCAATCCCACTCATCTCCCCCTCACCTCATACCTGCCCTCTACCCATGCAACCTCTTCCCAACAGAGAAAAATCTCATGGAAGCTGTAGTGTATAACAGTGTGTCCCACAGTATTCCCTTTTCTCCACACTTCTTTGTTTGCAAATAAATGTTCATTGGAATAACTCGGTCTGGTATGAGTTCTCTGGGTTCTGTTACTTTACTAATACTGGACTCTCACTGGGGCTTCTTTCAGATATCCCACTGTTGTTGCCCTGTGTCATGGAGATCCTGTAGTTTTTGATCTGTAGAACTGGCCCTTTCATCCTCTCCAGCAGTTCATTGATGGGGTAAATGTTGGAGTGGACCATTTGAAAGCCCTGGATCTAGGCCTGATAGGTACCAGAAATGGTCATCACTCCTGCTCTCATGCCCTCCAGGCTGGCTCACCAGCAACCCCTGCACCAGGGCCAGCTCTACCCTGCTGCCCAGGTGAGGGGCAGGGCTCCTGAGTGCTGCAGCCAGTGAGGAACATGGCCAGTTCTCCCACTCTTATAATTCTGGAGACAGCTTTCCTGTCTGCCACAGATGGTGAAGGACAAGGGAGGGGAAGTGAGTGTCTTTCCCTCATCTATGCCACTGCCTAGCAGATAAGAGGCAGGACTGGCTCTCCTGGGATCACACTCTTGGGGCAGGCTCACCTGCAACCCCCACATTCAAGGCCAGCTCTACCCTGCTGCCCAGGCAAGGTTCAGGACCTGCTCTTTTGAGTTCTGTAACAGATGAGGAGCAGAGCTAGCTCTCCTGCTTTCACAATCCGAGGAACAACTCTTCCACCTGCCCTAGGGGGTAAGGGGCAAGGGTGGGGAATACTGCCAAATGGCAGACAAGAGACAGGGCCACCTCTCCTACATGTACACTCTTGGGGCCAGCTCATCATCAGGGTCAGTTCTACTGTGCTGCCCAGGTGAGGAGCAGGGCCTGCTCTCCCAAGTACTGTAGCTTGCGAGGAGGGGCAAGGCCAGCTCTCCTGTTCTCATGACCTTAGGGTCAGGTCTCCTGCCTGTTGCAAGTAGTGAGGCAGGAGGGCAGAGGATATCTATTTCTTGTTCATGCCACCACAGGGAGACAGTGGTTGAGCTAGCTCTCCCATGCTCGCGTCCTTGGGGCTGTCTAACACGCAACTCCAACAGTGTGCCTGCTTCCTGAGTACTGCTTCTGGCTTTGGGCAGGGTCAGGTTTCCTGCTCATACTTCTAGGGTCAGCCCTCATGATGAGAGATGAGGGGTGGGACCAGTTCTGCACAGCAATCAGACATCAATATGTTCCCAGTGGCAGCCCAGACCAGGGATATCCACTTCACCTTTGATGGTAACAGACCTCTGCTGCTGCAGAGCTATAGACCCAGACATAGCTCCCAGTGTCAGCACAGGCCAGGACCCCACCATGGTCCCAGGTGGCATCACCATCCCATCAAGCTGTCCTTACTACCCTTGACTCTCCAGTTCTGCCTCTCTTTGTTGTGCCTGTATCCTTTTGCTTCTCTTTCTCGTCCATTTCTCTACCACTAACTTGCTCTTCTTAGTGGCATCTGGGCTCTCTAAATGTCTAGGGTTCTCTCAGGAGTGGTCTCAGAAGTGCAATGCCTTCCCTGTGTATTATAGGAGAGGTCATCTTGAGCATAGTCTACCCCCCCCCGCCCCCCCCCCCCCCCCCAGACCTGAGGGCCACCAGACTGGTGTTCATCTCAAGCTAGCTCCCTGTCTGGGCCCACGGTACCAGTCTGGTGGTCATTTCAGGCTTGCTTCCCTACTGGCCCACCAGAGTGGCTACCTGTCTTGAGCTCACTCCTGCCTGGGGCCTGTGGTTCCATGCTGAGTTCTTCTAGTCTCAGGCTTGCATCCAGGCCAGGCCTATCTGGCACCAGAGTGGTGGCCATCTCAGTCTAGCTCCCTGTTCAGACCCTCTGGCACCAGACAGTGTTGGTCTCAGGCTTGCTTTTTTCAGGGAATGTTAGGTTACTAATCATTTAGATGTTCATACATCAGAACACAGAACGAAGACATAGCATCTCTCCTGTCTGCCACCTACTGACACACACATGTGACACAGATGCCACACCTGCAACGCTTCTAGGGGCAGGAGTACTACATTTCTTTATTGTGTCTCTGAGTATGTGTGCACGTGAGTGTACATGCAAGTGTTTGCAAGTACATGCCTGCGTTCCACAGTGCTGATGCAGAAGTCAAAGGACCTCTTTGGGCAGTTAGCAGTCTACCATATGGGTCCCGTGCATTGAACTCATGGTCAGGCTTTGAAGCAAGAGTGCTCTTACTTTTTGAGTCATTTTGCTAGCCCAGTGCTTCTTCAATAGAATGTACCATAATTTATTTTTCAACAAAACAATTGTATTGTCAACCTATTCTGGTTAATGTGATCCCATGTGAGAGGAGAATGGATAGCAACAGAGTTGATACTAAAACCATGCATAGCAGTACTGTAAGTATGCTGACTCAGTAGTTAGCATCACTTACTGAATTCAGTTCCTAGCACCCACATCAGGTGGCTCTCTGTCTGAAGAGGCCCTGCAGGCATATTGAAAACAAAAGCTCACACAGACGAACACACATAACAGTGTTAAACAAACACACTTAAATAGTGGCATTCAGTCAACCATGTTGACAGGAGAGACTTTTAGGATTTCTTTTTTTATTTTTTTAATTTTTAAAAAAATTAATGGTGTGTGTGTGTATGTATGTTTAGTTCAGGTGTCTTTCATATTGCCAGATGGGAGTAGAGGGCAAATTTTGGGGGTTTGTTATTTTCCATTTTTGGTTCCAGGGATGGAACTGAGGTCATGAGGCTTGCTTGACAAGTGCTTTTTACCAGTTGAGCCTCTTACCCAGCTCAGGCTTTCCAGGCTTCACTCTCAGACTCGGTTTGTTTGTTTCCAAGTTTGGCAGTGTATCATTGCAAAGCATCGAGTCCTTGCTACTCTGCTAGCACATGCATTTATTTATTTAATACCTGTGAATTTACATATGTAAGCAGCCAACCTTCAGGAATTGGTTTTCTCTTTCAGATGTGGGTCCTGAACTCACCTTTTTGGACTTGACTGTAAGTTCTTTTACCCACTGAGATGGCTGACCTTTGGTACTTGCGTTTCTTGAGTCAAAGTTTAGAAAGGATAGTACAGAGCAAAATTGAGAGTATGTGATAGCCTCAGTTTGCGTAATTATTTTGTTTCTAAAAATCAGACTGCAAAGCAACCAGCTAAAGAAATGAGGAAACTAGGGTGACTTGTAAACTTGGCTTATTCCTTTATTTTCTATAACTGAGTCTCAGCTTCCCCAAAGGAATTTGTTGAAGTATGGCATGTAGTATCAACAATATCTCAGACTTCTTGTTTAGCCAGTTAATAATCACAAAATATTTAATTGTCCAGAGCCATTCTTGCAAGCAAATTTAATGAGTACTTCTGTGCAGTACTACCCTTGGCACTGCTGTTTTTCTAGAGTAGCAAATGGGCTTGTTACCACTGCTAGTGGGTTTCTACACCATACCATGATACCAAAAATTCCAGATAACTCACTTTAAACAACAACAACGATGACGACGATGACAACAACCAGCAGGTACCTTTGTCTGCTGAACCATCTTGCCAGCTCTGGCTTGACACTTAAAAAAAAAAAATTATAATTTTCTACTTCCAGCTATTTGATTATCCCTAGCAAAATATCCACTTTTTGGCCTGGGGAAAGCCCATGAGACCTCTACCCTGCACTAAGAATACACTAAAGAATGCAACTAAGGAACACTAAGAACAGTCTTCCCCAGGGAAGAGGACACCAATTGGTTACCAAATGGGGAGCTCTGAAAACCCACAGAAAAACAAAAGTAACACTGTATAGACAAACACACATGCAAGCATGCACACAGTAACAACGAAAAAAAAGAGGCCATGAATTTGATAGAAGCAAGGAGGGATTTATGGGAAGGTCTGGAGGGAAGAATAGGAAGGGGAAAGTGATATAATTACATTGTAATCTCAAAAAGAAAATATAAAAAGAAAAAAGTCCACTTTTTGATAATTTGATTGTTTGGCATGATTAAACTGTGTAATCTTTCCTGTTGTGTTTATAGAGAACTTTATTTAGCTTGGATTTCTGTTACTTTTAGACCCAATCCATAAGGAAATTATATTCTAGAGGGAAAGTTTTGTAGAATTTATTGTTGAAAAACGACCCAAATGGTAGAGTGTCCAAAATAAAAGCACTGCCCCTTTTCAGAAGACTTTTATGAAAGAGCTTTGAAAGATATTTATTGTATATGAAACAAAATTCAGGAGGTACAAAGTTGCATATAATAACATCTTCTATTCCTTGCCCTTCTCTTCCACTTTGTTAAGGATCCTTTCAGAGATTCTGTGCCCTGTATAGACAAATCATAAATAAAATTGCTTGTTCTTAAACAGTATAATTACCTTTTCTATTCATTTAAGGTTTGTGTGTATTATATGTTCATGCTTGTGTTGGTGTGTATATGTGTGCACATGTGTGTGGAAGTCAGAGGTTAATATCACCTGTTTTCCCTAGATCACTCTTCACCTTGGTTTTTGAGACAGAGTCTCTCACTCAACCTAGAGCTCATGGATTTGGCTAGGCTGGTTGACCAGTGAACTCCAAGAATCTGCCTCTTTCCCACTACCCTCAAGCACTGGGATATAAATGTGTGTAATCTAAACTCAGGTCCTCAAGTGTGTGCAACAGGCACATTACCAACTGAGCCATAATCTCCCAGCTGCCTCATTTAATTTTTGTTGACTGCAGCTGCTCCCTGTCATTTTCTATGAAGATCCTTTTCCTTCTTAATACCCACATTGTTTGGAAAGACCTTGATGTGCTCACTGGTTCTATTTATGGTTAATGCCAGTCCTTTGTGATTGATTTGGAAATATTCACGTTTTATCAGAGTACTGTTGACGTATTTAGGCAACTGTGACAAAATCTTATTTAAAACTTCAGTTTAAGGATTTTGAAATGCAAGTAATTGTTTGATTGATGTATAATATTGGAAATAATATTGTACAAAAAAGTAGTTCAGATTCATTTGTGCTATCCATATAACTTATTCCTTGAAGAAACAAGAGTCATGGGCATTTTAACTAGTTAACTGAATGTTTTTTCACATTTTAGCTTTTTATTGAACATGTTGCAGAAGAGTTTAGTCAAAAGACCATAGCTGGGATAGAGAGATGGCCTGTTGTGGTTAAGAGCACTTGCTCTTGCAAATTTGGTTTGGTTCCCAGCACCCAAATTGGGCAACTGTAACTGCTTGTAACTCCAGTTACATTTCTGAGCAGGAACATTCCATCCATACATGTCGTGCACAAACATACACTCTGGCACAGATATATGCACATAAAATAAACAATTAAATCTTAAAAGAAAAAGCAACAAAACCAGACTAAAACTCATGTCATTATAGCTGTCTCTGAATTCTTTTTTTCTTTTTCCTTTCTTAAGATTCATTTTCATTTGTGTGTGTTTGTGGAGAGACAGACACACTCATACACAGAGAGGGAGGGGGAGGGGGAATACGAATATGAAAATGTATGCAACGTGTATGAGGAAGTCAGAGAGCTTATGTCCTCTACAGCTGGAGCTACACACAGTTGTGAGCTGCCCTGTGTGGGTTCTAGAAACTGAACTCAGCAAGTGTTCTTAACCACCATTCCATCTCTCCTCATCTGCCCACTCTCAATTCTTGTTTCTTGTTTCATCTGTCTTGTTCTGATGTAGCAGAGGTCAGGGATCCTGCTAAGTGTAATACCAACTGCATGAGCAGGTCCAACAGACTCTGTGTTGCAGATGAGACTCCCAGTGCTGACTTTGGCTGGGACTTTGCAAATAAGTTACGCCAAAAGGTTCAAAATGTGCACCAGCTGCTATAATGAGAACACTGATATTACCTGTGCAGGTCACCTCATCATCTTGCAAGATGAGAGCAGAGTAGATGCAGGCAAACATGCAGATAAGTCATGGTGGACAGTGGGGATGATGCTGGGGCGACTGCCAGTGCTAGGTGATGTGCTAGTGTCTAGATGGAACAAGGCCCTCAGTCAATGAGGAAGGGGCGATAAATTATTTTTCAGTCTGATGTTATATTGTAATATTTTGAAAAAGTCTAATGCTCCCTTCTTTCAAAACTAGACTTTGATGTGTTTGTATTACAATTGACATTACTTTCATTTTAGTTTTTTTTTTTGATATTTCAACTTTAAAGAAAAGAACTGTTAGAGGGAGGGGAGGCTGTGGCTGGAATATATGATAAAATTTTAAAAAAAGGAAGACTCTCTATTCTAGAGTGTGAGTGATTCTCAACAGAAGAATCAGTTTTCTCTTTCTCACACGCATGTACTTTAGACAAAATCTCAGAGCTCTGGCTGGCCTTGATCTTGTTTATGTAGCCAAGAGTGATACTGAACTTTGATTCTCCCAACACTATGAAGGATCTATCTCTGTGGTGTCAGGATTACAGACAAGTTTAACTGTGACTTGTTTGTGTACTGCTTGAGATTGAACCCAAGGCTTTTGTGTTTTAGGCAGACACCCAGTCCACAAACTCTGGCCTTATTTTTTTCTACATTTATTTATTGGAGGATGGGGATATACACATGTGATACAGTGTGTATGTAGTGGTCAAAGGACAGCTAATGGGAGTCAGTTGTCTTTTTCAATTCTGAGGGTCCCAGGGATTGAAACTAGGTTGTAAGGCTAGGTGGCAAGTGCTTTTACTTTATCTGTTAACCATTTTTCCAGACCCAACTCCTCTTCTTTTTATTAGAAAAATTGGGCTTTTTTTTCTTTAGCTCAAGGGTATTTTATATAGACATACAAATATTTTATGTTAGCATACTTTATTAGTGATGCTTTTCATTTATTAATATAGCCTGTGATTCCTCTGTTGGCTTACATTTCTTTTAGAACTGTTAAGCATCTATGCTTGTTTTCATTTAGTTAAAAATTAGTTGTAAAAAAATGCAAATATGTTTATGAAGTAGGCCACACAAGAGTGTCTCAAGTTAGTAAATACTCTAGTAGGGGTAAATATTTTAGTCCTACTGAGTTTATTAAGGAAACT